GCGACGAAGCAGAAGCCGTCGACTGCCCGCGCAAGTCTTCATCCCTCCGTGGGCGACGGAAGATCGCCACCCCCGAACCGAACTTAAACATAGCACAGTAGCTCGCGAGCACCCGTCTGAAAGGGCTCATTGCGTACACGAGCCGGACTTGTGTTACCTATATATATATATGTGTATGTATAAATATATATATATATATATATATATACATATGTATATATAGTTATACATATATATAATGGCAGTTTGTCGAGCGCGCGTGTCTTCACTGTGTGCGTGCGCGCGTGCGTGTCACGCAGTGCGTGTCTAAATATCTCGAGTCCGCTGCAAGAACGAAGCAAGATAAAAAGTGTGTCCCGCTAGAAAAAGATAAATAACACGAAAAGAGCCAAGCGATTGTTCACCAAGCAAAGAGAAAGAAAGAAAGAGAGAAAGAGAAATACAAATACATCTCAGCTGCATAGAATGATTCTTCAGACTTGTGACCACGCACTCGACAATCTTCGACGGATGTCAGGTGAACTCTCTTGAGAGACAGTCCCTTAGACTTTGAATGCACTGTTAAGTAGATGAAGGGAGAAAGAAAAGTGATCTGTGACAGACGCTGGGGATTCTTTTCTAATGAAAGTGCGGCGCGGATTCTGAGCGAGATGGATCGCCTTTCTCGTTAGATTGCGCCGGTCTTGAAATCGACGATTTTGCACTCGTGTACCGAACGCACCCTTGCGTCTCTTGCGCCCACATGGCAGAGCAAACTTGCTGATCCTCTGGAATTTTTGTGTTCCAGGGTGGAACTGACCAGCGTGCCGGGCGGACAGAATGCGATGGCTCATCTCAAAAAGCGGAAGTTGGAAGCAGAGTCGGTCACGCAGAATCCTAAACAAATGCAGCAGCCGTCGCAACAGTCGCAGCAGCAATTGTTGATTAGCAAGAAGGGCCTGCAGACGAGCATGCCGCAAGAGATGGAGTCGACTGACGCCGCCACGAAACGGAGGAGGAAAAGCGTTCGTGATGATGACGTGCGAAAGACGATCGACGTTGTTGACCCTAATAAAAACATACCATTACCCCAGAAGAAGCGTGCATTTGCATCCGGTAACTCGGGTAGCCCTGCTAGGAAGTCGAGCAAACACAGCGAAGAACCCGAGGATGATGAGACTCTTATAAGAGAAACAGAAGCCGCCTTGAAGAGTTTGTCAGGCAGCTGGCCGGGACCTAGAGGGTCTCTGTATCAAAGAGGTAATTCGGATGAGGACAGATACGAGTCCAACTTTGAGAATCTTTTTGAAGAAAAAAAGAAAATCCTAAATTATCGCCTTCATCGATATCAACGTCTTCGAGTACGAGTAACGATACCGGTTGTTCACTCAAGGATGTAATAACTCTTCGCGGACAGCACGACCGATCGGGTAAAATGCAGCAGCAGAATAAGCAGCAAGATTCAAAGCAACAACATCCGACGAAAATTAAGAAAGACCTAGACAATTTGCTGAAGATAGAGAACGAATGTGCGAACATTCAATCTCAAGTTAACAATGTTAATCAAAATGAACCACCGAAGATCCGACCGATTTCCGTTCGATCATTGTCAAGTAAAGAGAGGAACGAGAGGAACATGATGGGCACACACATTGACTCTCAGGGAAGACAATCGGATAAATATTCTAGATACGATCCACCAGATTTTAACGAATTAGTTGATGATTCGTCTAACGAGTTAGAAATTGACATGTCGGATCCAGCCGCTGACAAGGACGAGAGTGATCGGGACAGATCGAACGATCGGGATCGGACATGCAAAAACGGTCAATCGCTTCAAAATATCAGCAGGCAACACCAGCAACATCATCAACAGCATCAAACACTTTACACGAATTATCAAAGACAATATAACGATACCAATATGAAAGTTTCACCTACGGGAACTTCGTCGTCTTCGTCACCGCCAGTGAGTTCTCCGTTTTCGGCAACATCTGCTTTCAGACCTCCTAATACGGACCATTCAAAAACATCATGTCGCACCTCTTCGTCGGTTCCGGTAGCCTCGTCAGCGATTCTACCAATCGGTCCGTATCCAGCCGCTGCTACATTCGTGGGATATCCGACTCCCGGACCGACGATGCCAACGCCGCAGCCTGTAGCCGGCATCTCGCCCACGTCTGAGGACAAGCATTCTACGCTGCTGCAGCTGAAATCTTCGAAAGAAGAGAATCATGACGTAACCTCTAATTCTGTGTCTCCTAGCAAAAGTCCAACCAGCGGTCCACCTTCCGTCACGAGTCCCGACTCTTCGAAACAGTACACGATCCTTCAGCCCGCGGGGGTGGGCTCCAGAGCAGCCAGTGCGATTCAGGATATCGCGAGGGAAGGGGTGGTGAGTGTTGCAGCTGTGAGCAGCTGCAGCACCACGAATAACGGCAGTGCGAGCAACGTCAACACCGCGAACGCAAATGGCAACGGGGTGGTCGGCAATAAAACTACCAACGGGAACAACGGCGCTAATGACAGCAGCAGTACTGCGAATCCTGCCGGGAATCCTAATGCAAACAGCATCGCCAGCATAACCATTACGACCGTGTCGACGACCACCACTACGTCTAGCCCAACAGTCGCTGTTGATGTGCCTTCGGTGAATGGTCAGCAGGACAATATCATGAAAATGCCAGAGAGGCCCGGCACCTTCGACAGTAGCAGACCGGGAATGTCTATGTCTCCGTCCAGTCTCAGCAGAGGTGAGGATTTCCAAATTGATATTAATGAAACTATAATGTTCTGGCAAATTCATCATGACGGAGTTAT